AAGTGTGTGTGTGTGTGTGTGTGTGTGTGTGTGTGTGTGTGTGTAATATAAGAAAGAAAAATTTGGTTCCCAGATTTATCTGTTCATAGGAGGCTCAAGGAAAGATCTTTAACTTGAGAGATTTTATGCTGCAGTAGCTTGCTGATTTCAGAGGCAGAACTACCTATTTTTACCCCTTGACTACATTCCAGTGAACTGTCCCTGCAGATGGAGCAGAGGGTAAGAATTGGAAGCATTACCAGTTGAGTGTCAAGAAGTATAATCTCTGGATTTTAGATTTCTAGAGGAAAATATTATCAGGTTAACAGATGCTTAGTCTAGTACCTCTGACCAGTGCCACTCTCTGGTTCTTTAGTTAACCTCTTTGCATATACTATAAGGTAATTATCCTTTTCATCGTATGCAAGCTTTACTTCTAGTAAGCAGAGCTATTTGTCAAGAAAAACAAAGTATGACTCTGATGTATCAGGACCGTTAACATACACATAAACATTACAGGAGAATTAGACCCTAGAATAATTTTCTGCTACTAGTAAAAGAATGAGAAGGGACTTTGAGAAATGCCCTTCAATTTGTAAGTCAAACCTTCTGCCTGTCACCTATCCTTGGATGCTTTTCACTTTTCTGATGCCTTTTTCCTTTTCTCATTATAGCTTTGGCGTCACAGATAAAGGAGCAAAGAAGAGCCAGTCTCTCATCGGTGTCTTTGGTAATGGGTTCAAGTCAGGCTCCATGAGATTAGGAAAAGATGTTCTTGTCTTCACAAAGAATGAGGGTACTCTTACTGTTGGACTCCTGTCACGGAGCTATCTGGAATGTACCAAGTCTCAGGCCATTATGGTACCAATTGTTCCATTCAGCCAGCAAAGCAATATCCTTTCTGGAAATGGGAAATGTGGGTTAAGACTTAGTCTTATGTCTTCGGGTCAACTCTAGTTATCAAAGTTTTCCTCCTTATTGGTGATAGTTATACAGCATGGTGAATGTGCTTGCTTTGAGTGTACTTGTTGCATACTTTAAAAAGGCAAAAATGGCAAAATTTTTATGATATGTATTTATGAAATTTTTAAAAATTCCTCTTTAAAGTGGTATATGCATATCTTAATTTAGCCAGAATGTCCCTATCTTAAGTATTTCTCAAGTGAGTGGGTCATTGGGAGAGACTTAGATGTGTTTTTGCTATATTAGTATATTAATTTTTATGTAATCTGATATACATGTAGTTTATCTCTCACCTCCACCTCCTATCATTGGAAAGTTACCAGGGTCCCACCCTATTGTTTGTTTTCCTAGGGATAACCATGTTTGTATTTATGCTCCTAGAAATACGCCATCCATCAGCATGTTTGATAGCAAAATATTTTATTTCTCTATACCTGGGTGAGTTCTATTTTCTGTTAGACATTAGGTTGTCTTGACCCCAGAAGTATAGCAGTAAGGTTTGGACTCATTGCTTTCAAATAGTTTGAATATTTAGCTGTAGTTTTGTAAATAAATAATAAAGTTCATTAGCAATTATGAGGGGCAGGAGGTGGGGGATGGGGATGGTGCTAATGGTGATTGAAAAAGATTGATTAAGGGTAGGGCTTCACAGCCCATTCTTATAATTGAGGTCAGTAAGCTGTATACTTACGCATTTATATTTTTTACCTTTGTTTACCTTTTATGTCATCTTCTGTAGAGATAACTAATTTTAGTGTTTGTCTTTGCACACTTTCTCCATTCCTCTAGTTTCTTTTCTCCTATGGCAGTAGTGCCCATGATTGATGTCTGCGTTTTTGCTCCTGACTATGCAATATAAAAAGTAGACTTTTCTTGTGAATGGTATCCTCTTAAGAGCATGTTTTTGTTTCTTTGACTATATTTGGTTCTACAAAATATGATAGTTACTGATGACTCCTTGCCCAGCCTGGAAGCCATCTTAAACTATTCAGTTTTCAAAAGTGTACATGAACTGCTCTCCCAGTTCGACGCCATCCCAGGCCAAAGAGGCACTCGTGTTCTCATTTGGAACATCCGCAGGTATAGTATTCTCAGGAGTGTAAAGTTTAATAAGTGAAAATAGTATGGTGAAGCACATTTAATACATCTCTCTAAAAGAAGCAGTATAGATAAATCTTTATACATACTGTATTTGTAACTCCTCACATATCTTCATTTTTTTGTTGGAACTATAATTTTCTTTAGGGTAACTCTGGTGGCCCAGGGGTAAGAAATTGTGCTTCCAACTCAAAGGCACACGATTCAAATCCACCAGCTTCTGCATGGGAGAAAGATAGGCATTCTCTTCTTGTGTGTAACCTCTGAAAACCTCCTGGAGAGTCAGCACATAACAACAACTGTTTACTTTTTGATAAAATATGGAATTTAACAAAGAACAAGGCTGCCTGTCCTCAGTCTCTTGCTACAAATTAGTATAGTTTTGAGATATGAGTTATTTTATAGATTTGATAATGAAAAGGCAGTAACAGAGTACAAAACAGTCTTTTAAAAACCGAGATTATTTTAATGCATTCAGAGAAGCAAGATGAGGAATAAAATATTTGAATCAAACAGGTTTTAAAGTATCATGAGCCTGAGTATAATCATGTATTTAGAGGTCAAAACAATTTACAAACAGTCAACTATCAATTACTTATTTAATATTGCCATGTGAAATGGAATACTTTAAAGAATGACTACTAAATCCTAAAAACCTTTTGGGTAAATAAAAATTTTATATGTTTAATAAAAGGAATATCCATTAGATATATTTGCTTTGACCTTTCTCCTTAGTTCAGATAGATGTAGTCTCATTTCTTAGAGGGATATAGGAAAATACTGCTGATTTATAACAGATGAGGGAAAGAATAATTTAAAAGCGATGTATGATAGCGTGTTATGGTTATCACCAGAGTCCACAATTAAGGTTGCATAGTGGAGTGTACTTGGGGTGGTGAGAGGGGTGCGGGGGGATTGTGTACCAGGGAGGGAGTGTTTCTTTCACTTTTCAAAGGGGGGGAGGGCTGGGCGGGGAGAGAAGTGCAACAATGAATGAATGGAAATCCAAAATCTCTGTAAATGTTCATTAAAATTATTTTTAAAAAAAGAATGCTTTGAATTAAAAAGTAACAAGACCACACACACTGGGGACACTTTGTCTCTTACTGGGAAAACTTTTGATTAATATAATTCTTATTATAAGAATCAATTTCCTAAGGTAGTGATTTTATATATATATATATATGTATATATGTGTGTATATATATATGTGTGTGTGTGTATATATATATATATATATCAGCCTTTTATTTGTACATTGTTTCCTTTGTGGTGTTAGCTGTTATTTGGATAAATTAAAATGATTTTTTTTAATATGAACTTACTCAGTTGACCCTCCAGTACATCTTCAGAAGATATAAATCACATAGGAGCACGATGCCCATGTTACTCCCGTCAAGACACTGGTGGGTTTTAGATTAGCAGCATATCTGCCTACAGACTAGATTCAGCAGAACTCCTGTGTGAATCAAACTCAAACTCCTTGTTGGTTGGAACTGACTCATAGCTGACTCTTCAACGGGTTACAAGAGGCTGTAAATTTGCACAGGTGTCTTGATTCATCTATTCATTCAGTTGGGAAAAGTAATCTTGAGTTACTAACAAAGTTGGGATCTGTTTTAAGATCTTGCTTCAAGGACAGCTGTCACCCATTTGATTTTTCAGATCACAGTCATTCCCACATTGCTTTTCCTTTTCTTAAGAACTTAGCATAGCCATTCTGTGAAGCATAGTAAATGGATTTATTTAGACTGAAAATTGCCTTAAGTATTGTGTGATCCTCAAACTAAATAGCTTGTGGTTCCTTTGTGCTAGCAGTTAAATTACTATAAACTGTGTGTTGCTTGCCTGGAGCCAGTTATTGTTAGATTGGTACTTGTCTCTTTTATCCAGAAACAAAGATGGGAAGACTGAGTTGGACTTTGCTACAGATCGATATGACATCCGGGTATCAGACTTTGACACAGGAGGTAAAGGGACTAGCAGTGCCGCCTCTGAGCTGCCAGAAGCAGAGTATTCTTTACGGGTGAGTTAAGGGAGATTTTTTTTCAATAATTGAGAGGTAAGATTTTGTGTAAGAGGAAAATATACAAGGCCCCATTTTCTTTATCTAGAGATAAGATGATCCTTTAGGTCTGTCCTAGGATTCTATTCCAGTGTCCCCACTGAAATTATCAAGCTAAAATAGCCAGTAGCATTTTTAGTGCATTAGTCAGCATTCTGTAAAAAAGTCTAGAAAGTGAGCCTCATCTTTCACCACTTGGTTGCCATTTGCCAGTAGTGTTTTACAGAATGTCAGTAGTATTGGCGTTATTTCCTAATAACTTTTCCTTCATTGTTCATAGACATTTTGCAGTATTCTGTATATGAAGCCACGAATGAAAATTTTTCTACGTCAGCATAAGGTGACTACCCAGTTGGTTGCCAAGAACCTGGCCCATGTAGAATATGACTTGTACAAACCTTCCTTCACAGTATCCTTCCAACTACAGGAAATTAAGATCTTCATTTCAAGAGTTTATTTCCAGGTTGATGCAGAAAACCAAAAACCTTTTTTTTTCTAATTAAAGGAAGATGTGTTAATAGTACATAGCCTATCATAGTGTAACCTAAGGGCACATTTCTGAAATGTCAATTTATGCATCAGTTGTATCAAATTACCTAGAAAATTATTAACTAATACAGATACTTGAGATTTTGAAAATTCTGGTTCAGTAAATTCTGAAATCTTTCTTTTTTCTTGTAAAATATACCTTTATGTTTTTAAAAAGCTCCTCAGCTTTTAAAAATATTTATTCTTATATTAGATGTATATTTCTATATTAGATATTCTCAAAAATGTGCATCTAGAGACGCTGAAGGATCTAACTCAATTGCACATAACAAGAAATATTTATTATAAGTACAATATGAATAGGGATGAGTTTTTTTAAATAAGTTTAATAATAAGAGGCAGAGCAGTAAAATCGTATGGGAACCATCCTTACTATCTGATACAGTCAGATTATTGTTATGGTCACTGTGTTCAGGATAGGGAAAGGTTCAAATCCGTTGTTCATAGGGTCGCTATGAGTTGCTGTGCACGTGCCAGCACCTAACCAATAATAGTGAAAAATTTGATCTGCTAAAGCTCTGGTGTTTTTTTGCCTCCTTAATAAATTTCTCAGAAAAAGCCAGTGAGAATCACTTTTGGGTACTCTTGCATGAAAAACGGCCAGTTTGGAGTAATGATGTATTATAACAATCGACTCATAAAGTCCTTTCAGAAAGTGGGATGCCAACTGAAGGTGAGTAGTTAATTAATTTGTTAACGTTTCTCTGTCCATAGAGGCCTGAAGAGAGTAGGGAAAGAATTTAAAATCTGAAAAGTGCGTAGACTCCTTAATAGCTTTTACTCTCATCTGGTTAAGTCTAATCTGTGATTCTGTGTTACTAGTGGGCCATCTTGTATTTGAAAAACTCATTTTTCATAAATAATATTCAACCCAGGGGCTTTATGAAAATGCACCTTTTAGATGACACAACCCTGCTTACTGAAAGTGAGGAGGACCTGAAGCGCTTGATGCAGAAGGTCAAGGACTGCAGCCTTCAATATGGATTGAGGCTCAATGTCAAGAAAACAAAGATTCTCACCACTGGGCCAATTGGCAGCATCAGAATGGATGGTGAAGAGATTGAGATTGTTCACAGCTTTAGTTTGCTTAGCTCCACAGTCAACACTCTTGGCACCAGCAGCCAGGAAATTAAAAGACATATTGCGATGGGAAAGTCTGCTGTTAGGGACCTCTCCAAACTGGAGACTAAGGTGCACCCAATACAGGCCATGGTTTTTGCAATCACTTGCTATGCATCAGAGAGCTGGACAATGACTAGGGAGGATAGAAGGAAAATTGATGCCTTTGAGCTTTGGTGTTGGAGAAGAGTATCCAGTATACCATGGACTGCTAAGAAAGCGAACAGGTTCATCCTAGAGAGAGTTAAAACAGGCTGCTCCTTGGAGGTAAGGATTCTGAAGCTTCATCTGACATACTTTTGAGGACATGTTTTAAGGAGGGGCCAATCCTTGGAGAAGGATATCATGCTTGGGAGGGGGAGGGACAGCACAGGAGAAGAAGACCCTCTATTCAGGATAGGTGTGTCGGAGACAGTAAGATTGGCACAGGATAGAGCAGGGTTTAGGGCTGTTGTATATAGGGTCGCTATGAGTCGCAGGCTACTCGACGGCACATAACAGCGACAACATTTATAAGAATTAGAATTATAGCACTAGCAACCTTACTATGTATATCAACTTGTTGCTGTTTAATACTTTTAAACAGTTTGAGAATGAGAGCAATATGACACAATAGAAAGAGCATAAAAGTTTCCAGTTGAAGATGAGAATTTAGTTCTTAATTTTTTTTCCATTTACAGGCTATGTAGCCTAGAGTGTGTCATTTACCTTTTCTGAGACACAATTTCCTTGTCTGTAAAATGGAAACAATGATTGGGTTAACTAATTTATCTATGTTAGCTCTTAAATAGGGTTAAGAGATTTAAATCAGACAATATTTAAGGTATTACTTTTTATAAGTATCCCCATTCATTATTGTTTTAGATATTAGATGGCTAAAGCACAAAGCTTTAAAAACTGCTTTGTGTTACATAGAAGGACAGAATTACATAAGACTTAAAAACAGTGTTAAACTCATATTGTCTTTCCTTGCTTTATCATCTACACAATTCATGTTTCTGTGACAGTCTAGTTAACACCTTGACCCATTTCCTTCCATTAAATAATAAAAGATTTTAGTTCTACAAACTTTTTACATCAACTTAGAATTGATAACAAGTCTGCAAGTCTGACTCCTGAATATTTAATTTGGTGGTCTACATAGGAGAAGACGTGTTCATTTAGTAGGATGTGATCATCACATGCACCCTTAAAATTTTTTTCAGATGAACCTTGGTTTTAATTTCCTGGAACAGTAGTTGATAAGCTTGACTTTGTTTTAGCAATGTAATTCTTCATTCAAATGAAGTCTTATGGCAATCCTAGATATAAAACAGGGAGGTAGGAGTAGTGTAGGAGAAGTAAAGATGACTTTTGGGTCAATCTTTGAAGGATCCTTAGGATCCAATTTTCCAGAGGTTCCAGTACAGTGTAACATTTTTGGTCTACTGACGTATGTTCTATGTGTTTCACTAGGCCATAATGGTCTTTCTTTCCCAGTAACCATTATGCCATATCCTTCTGTTATTGTTATTATTATTTTATTATTTGGAATTAAAAGGAAATGTCTTCTGGTGATCAGTTGTAATACAGGTGTTGAAATTCATGTTTTATATCTAAGACAAATCGTGGAGAAGGAGTGGGAGTAATTGGAGTCATTGAGTGCAATTTCCTAAAACCTGCCTACAACAAACAAAGCTTTGAATATACAAAGGAGTACAGGTGAGTTATTCTCGACCTAATGTGTTTCTGATAATTTGTATTAATTGAGTCAATTCTCTGATCTTTTAGGTGAGAGCATGCCTAAAATCAACAAGATAAATTAATTTAAAATTCCTTTAAATCTGGGCTCCATCATTAAAGATACAATGAATTTATTTTTAAATTAAGATTTACTGGGGAGCTCTGGTGGCCTAGTGGCAAGAAGCTGTGCTGAATTACCAAAGGTGTGTGGTTCGAATCCAACAGACGCTCTGCTGGAGAAGGAGGAGCAATCCCCTCCTGTGCCAGTCGGGTCAGATTTGATGGTACACAACAATTAAAAAAAATAAATAAGATTTACTGATACTTGAATGTGAGGTCCAGTTCTTTCTCCATTTCATTCTTTTATAAAAGAGCAATCCATAAGAGTAACATGAAGAAATATTTCTAGTGAAACAAGAAGCCTCAGAATGGATTTTAATTTTTTTTTACAAAATATGAATGGATCTCAGAGAGGCTCAGTCTTTGGAAAAAGACATGCTGGGAAAGGTAGGGAGTCAGGGAAAGATAAGGTCCTAATCAAGATGGATTGACACAATGACTACAGCAGTGGGCTCAAGCACGATTGAGATTGTGAGGATGGCACAGGAACTGGGCAAAGTACAGGAATAGGGCAAAGTTTATAAGATTGCTGTGAGCTATGGTCGACTCTGCAGCACCTAACAACAAGAAGTCGTTGAGGACATAGAGGGGGGGAAAGTAACAGTTTGAAGTTTATTTTAAAAAATTTCTTGAAGCCCTTGAACAGATTTAGAGGAAAATTTTGAAGCAGCAAGAAAAACATATGCTTTCATGGAAACCACTTAATAAGGTCTTAATAAGACTTAATAAGGGAAACAAATGGGTAAGGTTTTTTTAAAGAAGCCTGACATTGAGGCAGAGCCAGCAGGATTCTTTATGGTAGGCAAAGAAGGCAGGACAGAGTGGTTTGCTTTAAACCTTTTGGGAGAAAACGAGATTATTAATTATTTCTTTTATGAAGTATTATGAGATGCTTTTTGTTTTCTGGGTACTAGGGTAGGGATAAGGATATAAAACGTTACAAATATTTTACTCCTGTGAACAAATACAAAAGACAGGCAAATAAAAAACTTAAATTCCTATGAAGGAATTGCTATAATGAGGGACATATGTAAGGTGGGAACAGTCTGTAAATATGCGTAAGGAAGCTAGAGAAAATTTTACAAAGCAGATAACATTTGAGCTTAAACTTGAAGGAAAAGTATGTGTTTGCTAAGTGGACAAATTGAGGAAGGATGTTCTAAGGAAAGGGAAGTTCTTGTAGGGACAAGAAATGACAAGTTGTGCTGTATAGGAGTATGGAGATAGGAGGCATGGAAAAGAGAGACTTTTTTGGCAGTTATTATTTTTTTAATTTGAATTCACCGTTTATTTATTTATTGCCTCTTTTTTATTATTATTCATGTTAATGAAAATTTACAGAGACTTTGGATTTCCATTCATTCATTGTTGCACTTTTCTCCCTGCCCACTCCCCCCACCCCCAGTTCGCTCTTCTCTGAAAGTAGAGACATTTTATGTCATTTTCCTTGAAATACAATATTTTTCTTAGACTAGGGAAAATCTCTTTTCCTCTTACGTAAATAGATACACTTCCCCTACTTTGAATACCTTTTAACAGCAGTCAAGGAATCAAAAGACTTGTTGCATTGGGAAAATCTGCTGCCAAGGACCTCTAAAGTGCTAAAGAGCGAGGATGTCAGTTTAAAGACTTAAAAGTGTGCCTGAACCAAGCCATGCTGTTTTTAGTTGCTTCCTATGCATCTGAAAGTTGGACAATGAAAAAGGATTACAGAAGAAGAAGAATTGATTGTTGCATTTTAGTTATGGTATTGGCAAACAGTATTGAATATACAGTGGGCTTGAACATGAGAGAGATCATGAGGATATCACAGAATAGGACAGGGTTCAGATCTGTCATAGGGTTGCTATGCTTCACTTAACAACAACTTACGAGAGTTAAATGTTGTAAAAGTTTTAGGCTTAATGCTGGGCAAAGAGACCACTGATTGGATGGCAGCCCCTAGTTAATTCTGGGATAATTGATCACTGAGAACTATTTAGAGATCATGATAGCTCCCTAATTTCATTCTGTGTAAAATGTTCGGGTTTGTTTGTTTGTTTGTTTGTTTTTTAAATGGCTCAGACTCATGATGGATCCTTGGTGATGACTTAACTGTAACAATGATGATTGAGGAACAATAGGGATTTCACAAGTTTTAAGACCAAGTCATTCTGTTGCTCTTGAGTTAAAGGAATAGAGAGAAAGAATTTCCAAAGATTAATCAAATGATTTTAAAAAACCCCAAAACTAGGTGGAGTGATACAGTGACAGCAACAGTGGGTTTGAACATGGCAGGGTCTGTGAGAATGGCACAGAACAGGGCCAAGTTTCGATCTGCATGTAGTATCATAGTTGATCTGACAGCACCCACCAGCAACCACAAGCTAATGGTTAGGTTTTGTGAAACTCAACTCTTAGCTTTCAAAAGTTAACTGATGTCTTCCCCTACCTTCTTTCTCACTCCTCCAAGAAACCTCTTTTTAAATTTAGAAACATTGAATTCTTGGATTGTGGTAAATAGTTTTTCGACATGATGAGTTTGAGGTGATTGCAGGACACAGATAGTATGTTTCTTCCATTAAACATATAGAGGATTAATTAAAAAGACTATTTGCTAAATATGGAGACATTTGCATTGACAAAAGTAAAGGATTTGTCTTTATTAAACATGAATCTAGAGTTTTGGCTAAAATCACCAAAGCTGAACTTGATGATTCCCTTATGAGAGGTAGATAGCTTCATATTTGCTTTGCCACATATGATACTGTCCTTTCAGTTCATATTCTTTCACCTTATATTATATTCAAACTCATTGAAACACAGCAGCACTGGAAGGAGCTGTTGAATTTACCTCTAAACCAGTAGTGTTAGAAGCATTGGAAACACGCGGTGGAGGTATTTTCTTCCCTGAAGAAACAACTCTTCATCCAGTCATTATGGAATTACTTGAACAATTAGATGATGAAGATGTTCTTCCTAAAAAAAATGTGCACAGAAGAATTCCATCGCAAGGAGAGAGAAACCTCTGCTTATTTGGCCTAGCATGACCCTTTGAATATGAGTATTTCCAGCCAGAAGGAAGGAACAAATTTGAAAAAGCATGAAAGTTGCCAAGGACAAGTTAACAAGTGAATTATAAATTCTCATTGTGAATCTTCTGTGATAAGATCTAATGAGACACTAGGAAGAATTAGGGTACACTGGAGGAATATCACAATCAAGAAATGTAGGAATGTAAAGAAATGCCATTGAGGTAATAAGAAGAATGGCACAAAGGGAAGAAGGGATTATAATTCTCCACTGTCAGATAGGAAAACAAATGAGATGCCAAAGAGGAAAGTTAAAGCTGGATAGTTTACAAGGATCCAAGAGAATAACTGTTGGAGGAGGAGCAAAGAATGTGGGAAATTCCGGTGGTTCAAGAGGCCAGAAATATCCACCTCTAGGTGGTGGTAGTGGCATAGATTACGAAGCCAGTCTCAAGTGTCCCATCAGCAACCATGAGTAGTTTTGTGATAAAACAAGATTTTTTAGAGGGAGAGAATATAAAGACTCAAACAAAAACCAACCCCACCCCACCCTTTAATTCACATTTGTTTTGCCTTTTCTTGTTTAATCACCAACCTTGAAACCACCAGCTTTGCTTTTAAGTAAGTAAACTGCCTTTTTATGGTTATTAGCAATTTTTTTGCCTGTCCTGAACTGTGGAGCCGCAGCTGATTTATGGCTGATTCTCCAGTTGGTTTTCAGAGACAATAAATTGCGTGGGAGAAGATGCTCCCACGGAGCAGCTGCTGGTGGATTCCAACTGCTTGCCTTTGAGGTGGCAGTGCAACTTCTTACCACCAAGCCACTAGAGCTCCCTATATTTATTGACCTACTGTTTACCAATAATCTGTTTAGGCAGGTAAAATGATATAATGTGATGTTTGAAATAAGATAAAAGATATTTATTTCAAACTGTATGATGTTTGTCAAATTATAACGGTGTCTGTTATGTCACTGAATTTCCTAAGTGTGCTATTTTTAACTGCTTAAATATATAGGAATATATATATATATATATATAAAGTAATCTTAATATAAAAATATATGATTGTCTTAGTACACCTATATATAAAAGAAAAAATGGAATCGTTCTGTAAACTTGCACCAAAACGACAATAAAATGTCCCAGAGAGAGAGAGAGAATTTCACAGTAACGGTTGGTTGCACAGCTGTAATTACTCTCACTAAGCTGTAACTTGTGAAAGGTTGCACTGGCAAAAGTTGTGTGATACAGATGTTTAAAAACTGACAAAAAAGAGTAGCTGCTGAGGCTGCTTTTATGCAAGCAAAAACCTCATGAGATGTTGTTCCTTGATGTGGGAGTTTAGGGCCATGGTTTCATGGCACATCCTAGCCAGTTGTCCTAATAAGGTGCTTAGTGCTTCTGTTCTACCTCCTACATCATATAGATCCTGGGATCTTAAAAGCTTACAAATGGCCACCCAAGGCACCATTGGTTTCTGTTCACCTGGAGCAATAAAGGAAAAGAGTCAGCAATAGGAAGGAAAGCAATGCTATGCTTTGACACCAGACACATTGGATAACCCTGGTTACCATTACAGTACATTTTGGTTAAAAGTTCTTTCAAAGCATCCTAACAGATAAAGAAGAAAATGCATAAGGAAATTTCAAATTCTTATACTCTGTGAAAATGGGGAGACTGGATGTACCTGTGAAATTATAACCCTGATAAATAATCTTTAAATTTTAAGCCAAAAGTATGTCCTTTTAAAAAATAGATCTTTAAACAACAAAATATTTAAATAAGGCTTCCTTAAAATAAATAACAGTATAAGCCTTAATGATGGGCATAGTTCCATGGTAATTCTTTTTATAAAACACAATGAATGGGAATGATTGTATGAAACAATGTGAATGAAAAAAAGTGTGAAACACAATGTGTACAAACTTTAGGAGCAAACAAATATAAAATAAAAATATGTACCTTGAAAATTATGCTCTTTAAAAATTCTTTTTATTTTATTGTGACTTGATTGAAAGTATACAAAGAATATTGAATTTTTCCCAAATTCATTCACATCATGTTCCACAATAATTACAGTACACCCAAGAGCTGATTGTCCATTCCATGTTGTCCTTCTTTTTTTTTCTTATTAATTTTAATTAACGTTTACAGAGACTTTGGATTTCCATTTATTTATTGTTGCATTTTTCTCCTTGCCCACCCCTCCCCCCACTTAGCTCTTTGAAAAGTAAAAGAAAAATTCTTTCATTGTTATACAATCCCTCCGGCCAATTGCACTCCACTATGCAGCCTTCATTCTGGACTCCTGTCATGAAAATAATACCCAATCATATATCCCTTTTAAACAGTTTTCTCCCTCATCTGTTTCAATGCAGTATACATCATTCCTCCCCTCCTTCTCTGTCTTCCCTCAACCCTGATGTCAGTCCCATTCTACAACAGTGGCCCTATGCAATATTTGTCCTTTTGTGGCTGAGATATTTCACTCAGCATAATGTCCTCCAGAGTCACCCGTTTTGAATAATATTTCATGAGTTCCTTGTTTGTTTCCGTTTTTTCCTTTTTTATTAATTTTAATGAAAATTTACTGAGACTTTGGATTTCCATTTATTCATTTTTAAATAAAATTTTTAATTTTAATTATGATTTTAACAAAAGTTTTCAAAAAGTTCATTCTTTCATTGTGGCTCATTTTACCCCCTCTCCCTCCCTTCCCCCTTTCCCAGGTCACTTTTTTAATAAAATATTCATTTTTATGAATAATAAAATATTCATTGTTGCACAATTCCCTCTTTATCTGCCTCCCCCACCCCCAGCAGTTGTTTTTGCAATGTGCTTTTTATACTTGGCTATTGTTGCATGTATAATGCCTAATCATATATTACCTTTAAACAATTCTTTCCTTCATCTGTTCCAATGCAATATTCTTTATTTATCCCTCTTTTCTTAGTTTCTCCCCAATTCCCTTGTCAGTCCTGTTTTATAACAGTAGTATTATGCATTATTTGTCCTTTCGTGATTGAGACATTTCATTCAGAATAATGCCTTCAGAGTTACTAATGTTGCATAATATTTTATGAGTTCCTTGTTCGGTGTTTTGTATCATGTTTTCAACTTTTTTTATTAATTTTAATAGATATTTACAGAGGTTTTGGATTTCTATTCATTCATTGCCACACTTTTCTCCCTGCCTATCCCTCCCCACATGTTTTCAACTTTTAAAGGAAACATCAAAATGCTTTCTGTAGCGATTGCACTTTTGTGTGTTCCCTCCAGCAGTGTATGAGAGCTCCATTCTCACCAGCATTTGTTGTTTGCTGTCCTGTTAAACTTTGATATTGTTACTGGGATGAGATGATCTCTATTGTTGTTTTCATTTGCATCTCAAGTAGTTAGTATTCTTTTTTTTTCCTTTTTCTTTCTTTTTCAAATTTTATATTAATTTACTTACAAAGTTCATATACACATTGTGTTTTACACTATTCCTCATTCACACTGTGTTTCATACATCATTCTCATGCATCACGTTTCATAAAATCAATCACCGCTAGACCTTGCCCATCATTACACTGTCTTTTCACCTGGATCCTTCCCATTTCCTTCACCCCTTCTTCTACCCACTATGTAACCCTGTGGTTTTGCCCCTACCCATCCTCATCCCTTTGCTCCCACCCCTTCCCCTTGGGTCCCCACACATGTTTTACTGTTTGAGACTGTACACAGTAAAACCATATAGAAATTTGACAGATTCTACATATACGATCTAGTGACATTGATTAGATTATTTAAGTTGTGAAACTGTCCTCACCCTCCTTTTCTGAGTTTTTTTTTTTTTGCCTTTCTTCAGTAACAAGAATTTTAGAGAAGATTGTTACTTTCACAGACTCATTTTAAAGATAGAATAAGTATGAATAAACGATAGATTATTAAATACCAGTCATCATACTGTTGAAATATCTACAAATATATAATCTCTTAAACACTTTTAACAGTTGTGGAGATTAGATGTCAGCTGCAGATATCAAGGCTGAAACATAAAACATTACATTTCAGGTTAAGAAATCCTGTCAACACATATTAACTGAGTATCCCACTGGGGCATAGCATGGTGGCTAGGCTTTGTGGAATTTCCCTAGGAAATTTAAGACATGGTTGTTACCCTTAAGGACCTTAACAGTCTATTTACCTCTTCTTCAGCTTCTTGTGGCCACTTAACCTTCTCAAATAAAGTCAGTATTCAGGGAGCTCTGGCAGCCTATTGGTAAGGAATTATGCTATCAATGCAAATAAAGTCAATATTAATCATTAACAAGTTTATGATTTTGACATGATCTGCATAAACGGTGGATTGCAAGCTTAGTGTTCAAAAGGGCAGATGTTGAAAACTATGCTGAATATTCTAAATTGTTGACTTCTTTTAAATGGAAGCTTCTAAAAAAATCCTTAAATATTGCAGACTTAGCCCATCAACAAATGAATGGATAGAGAAGCTCTGGTATATTCACACAATGGAATACTACACTGCATTAAAAAACAAGGAACTCATGAAATATTATACAAAATGGGTGACGCTGGAGGACATTATGCTGAGTGACATATCTCAGTCACAAAAGGACAAATATTGATTGGGACCACTGTTATAAAATGGGACTGACATCAGGGTTGAGGGAAGACAGAGAAGAAGGGGAGAAATGATGTATATTGCATTAAAACAGATGATGGAGAGATCTGTCTAAAAGGGATATATGATTAGGTATTATTTTCATGACAGGAGTCCAGAATGAAAGCTGTACAGTGGAATGGATTTAGGGGGAGGGATTGCATAACAATGAAAGAGTTTTTCATTCTTTTCAAGGAGAAGAGTGAATGGGGGTGGGGGCAGGGAGAAAAGTACTACAATGAATGACTGGAAACCCTAAGTCTCTGTAAACTTTCATTAAAATTAATTTTAAAAATCTAAAAAAAAAGATTACAGACTTAGAAATCCTATAGGGCAATTCTACTGTGTCCTATAGTAGTCCCTCCCTATGAATCTTGAATTGAGTGAATGACAGTGGGTCCCCAAAATAATGCTGTGTCTTTTTGCTTTTTCTTTCAGGTTGACAATGAATGCCCTTGGTCAGAAGCTTAATAATTATTGGAAGGAAAAGATTTCTCAAAATACTTATGGGTGCTCACTCACTGCTGGGTCAAGCCTGTGAGTAATAAGTGTCGTTTTCCACGTGATGTTTCTCAAATCAGAAGGTTTAATGAACTAACACTAGTAAATCACAGGTTTCAATTGAGTTATTCTCAAAACTTCTTGATTATTTTTTCTAAAATTTGTGGGTTTCAGATAATAAATCTGATCAGAGGAGCTACCAATTTGTCCTATCATCATTGTGATATCGTGGAAGGTAATAAACATTTAAATCAGACATTCTTTTGAGTTGAAAATGTACATCTGCTTAATAGTTGAGTGAACTTGGGTAAGGAAGAGTGTTAATTTCTTAACGTTAATATAATAAAGTATCAAAATTGACTGGTTTAAGACAAAGGGTATTCTTTCTTCTCTAGAGGCTATTAGTTCAAATTCAGGGTGTGAGCTCTCTCTGAAGCCATTAGGGTGATGAACTTCCTTGCCTCTGAATTTATCATGCCTTGCCTCCTTGGATCGTGACAGTGTAACTCCAATATTCACCTCCTCTTCCTTCTGTATACCTGTTTTTGCATCTCTTCTTTTTATAAGGACATCAGTCTTGTTAAAATAGGGCTCTTCTTATTCTAGTACAGCTTCAGGTTAACTAATTAGCACCTGGATATATATAAGTTCACATTCACAGATAGTGAAAATTAGGACTTCAAGGGATGGAGGGAGAGACAAACAGTTCAACCCATAAGAGAAGTTACTTTCACCTCTGAGTATAAAGGTAAGATTCATACCACAGTGGCTAACATACAGTTGTTGTTCATCATCAAGTCAAGTATGACTCATCCTATGAACAAAAGATCTGAACTCTGTCTCATCCTGTGCCATCCTCACACTTCCTGACACATTAGAGCCCATTTCTGCAGTCACTGTGGCAGTTCACTTGGTTGAGGGTCTTTCTCTGCTTTGCCATCTCCCACACCTTTCCAAGCATGATGTTCTTCTCCATGTCTTAGCAACATGCTCGATGTATACAAGATGAAGCCTTATCATCTTTGCCTCCAAGGAGCACTGTGGCTGCACCTTCTCTGAAAACGTATCTGTTCTTTTGGTAGTCCCTGGGATATTCAGTACTCTCCTACAGCACCGCACCTCAAAGCCATCACTCTTTTTCTGTCATCTTTATTCGTTGCTGAAAAGACTGGCCTGGATCAGGTGTACCTTAGTCCTCAAACTGACATCATTGCTCCTCAGTAATTTAGAGAGGTTCCTAACTACAGACTTTACCAGTGCAGTACATTTCCTGATCTCCTAACTACTGGTGCCAAGTATACTGATTGTGGATCAAAGTAAGATGAAGTAATTGACGGTTTCAATCTTTTCTCTATCATGATGTCACCTATGGTCCAGTAGTGAGGATTTTTGTTTTCTTGACAATGAGTTGCAATCCATATTGAAGGCTGCAGTTTTTAACCTTCTGAAGCAAGTGCTTCAAAGCTTCACTCTGAACAAGCAAGGTTGTGTGATTTACATAACGAGAGTTTTTGATGAGGCTTCCTCCAATCCTGGTGTCTCATTCTTTTTCAGAGTCCAGATTCTCAAATAATTTTCTCAGCATACAGATTAAATAGATATGGAGAAAGGATACAGCCCTGAAGCACACCTGCACACCTTTCCTAATTCTAAACCAGATATTGTTCCCTTGCTCTGTTCACATAACAGCTTCCTGGTATAGGTTTTGCATGAGCATAATTAAGTGTTCTGCAATTCCCATTCTTCTCAATGTTAGCCATAATGTGTTATGATACACAGAGTCAAATGCCTTTGCATAATCAATAAAGCATAAATAAACATTATATTCTTTACTTTTAGCCAGGATTCATCTAATATCAGCCACGATGCCTGGTGCCACGGCCTCTTTTAAATGCTACTTGAACTTCTGGCAATTCCTTATCTGTTCTAGCCAGTTTTGAATGATCTTCAGTATATTTGGCTTTTATGTGATATTAACGATACTGTTCAATATTTACATGTTACGTTGGACCACCTTTCTTGGAATGGAAACAAATATGATCTCTTCTAGTCCGTTGGCTAGGCAACTGTCCTCCTTATTTCCTGGCATAGACTAGTAAGCACGTCCAGGGCTACATCTGTCATTTGAAACATCAGTTGGTATCCCATTGATTCCTGAGGCCTTAATTTTTGCCATTGCCTTCAGTGCAGCTTGAATTTTCTTCCTTCATTACTACCAGCTCTTGATCACATGGTTCTTGTAGTCCTGTTCCATCGAGTTGGAACTGAGCCATAGCTGACCTCCAGAGGGTTTTCAGAGACAGTAATCTCACTTCCTGAAATATTTCTGTGTTGACCAATTCTTTTTGCTACAGTGATTCAGTGTATTCATAAATAATATCCAAGTTTTCTGCTTTCTGTTATACTTTATTAGAACTGCAACAAGTTATTTGAGAATAGAGCTAGAATCCAGCATAGAAAAAGCAGATATACTTTGATTAATTTATTAAATCTATTCTAGGAAATTTGATCCAGAACTGTAGGATCAATGTAAATTGCCTCAGTAGGTCACAAAATGGGTGTAGTATAAAGGAGAGAATTAGTAACAACACATATATGTTAGTCAGCCGTCCAGACAGTGTATAAGATTAAAAGTTCATTTTCGGCTAGGCAAATCACTGTGATTTTCAAATAAATGCTAATTCTTATGAGATGCAATTATTTCCCCCTTCAGATCAGCAGCTGTCAATGGGGTGAAACCATATGCTACTGGATGTGTGTATGTGTACATATAACATTTCTTGGGGCAGAGTTGTAATAATAGCTATTACTTATTAAATACTTACTTCCTTGCCAGACATTGTTTTTAAGTTCTTTCATGTAGTTTATGTTGAGTCTGAAATACTCAGTCATACTCTAAGTGTTAGAGCTAAGGTTTAAATACAAGTATTTGGACTCCTAAATCTAATTCTTAACTACTTCACAATTCTAGAGGGAGAATATTATACAGTTCCCTAAAAGGACCGACTTAATGCAAAATTTGAACTGAAAACCTCTTCTGTCTGCCTGGATGGAAGGATCTACCATGATTGATATGTAACATAGAGCAGAGAGTTGCTGCCTCTAAATAAACTTGTCTTCAGAGCATAATAGTGGCATGTAAACCCAAAGCTAGTATGTCCTTTACTCTCCCCTCGCGCTACTGCTGACATTGGTTTTGAGTGGTAGAATTATGCGTGTTGTTGTTGTTATGTGCCGTCGAGTCCTTTGCGACTCATAGCGACCCTATGCACAACAGCCCTAAACCCTGCTCTATCCTGCGCCAACCGCACTGCCTCTGACACACCCATCCCGATTACCCCAGTCACCGAGTCAATCCATCTCATAGAGGGTCTTCCCCTCCTGCACCGTCTCTCCACCCTCCCAAGCATGATGTCCCTCTCCAAGGACCCGTCCCTCCTGGCAACATGTCCAAAGTATGTCAGACGAAGCCCCAGAATCCTTGCCTCCAAAGAGTAGCTTGGTTTAATCCTCTCCAAGATGAATCTGTTTGTTTTCTTGGCAGTCCGTGGTACATTCGGTACTCTTCTCCAGCACCACAGCTCAAAGGCATCGACTCTCCTTCTGTCCTCCCTAGTCATTGTCCAACTCTCTGATGCATAACAAGCGATTGCAAAGACCATGGCCTGTATCAGGTGCACCTTAGTCTCCAGAGAGACACTGTTGCTCCTCAGTACTTTAGAGAGGTCCCTCACAGCAGACTTTCCCATCGCGATACGCTTTTTGATTTCCTGACTGCTGGTGCCAAGAGTGTTGACTGTGGAGCCGAGCAAACTGAAGCTGTGAAAAATCTCAATCTCTTCGCCCTCCATCCTGACGCTGCCAATTGGTCCAGTGGTGAGAATCTTTGTCTTCTTGACATTGAGCCTCAGTCTGTACTGAAGGCTGCAGTCCTTGACCCTTCGCAGCAAGTGCATGAGGTCCTCCTCAGTTTCAGCAAGCAGGGTTGTGTCATCTGCATAACGCACATTGTTAATAGATCTTCCACCAATCCTGATGCCACAATTCTCCTCATAAAGCCCAGCCTCTCGGATAATCTGCTCTGCATACATGTTGAAAAGGTATGGAGACAGGATGCATCCCTGGTGTACACCCTTCCCAATTTTGAACCATGCAGTGTTACCCTGCTCTGTTCTGACGACTGCCTCTTGGTCCAAGTATAGGTTTCGCATTAGCACGATTAAATGTTCTGGGATTCCCATTCTTCTCAGAGTCAGCCACAGTTTGTTATGATCCACACAGTCAAATGCCTTTGCATAATCAATGAAACACAAATAGACATTCTTCTGGTATTCTCTGCTTTCAGCCAAGATCCATCTAACATCAGCAACAATATCCCTAGTACCACGACCCCTTCTAAACCCAGACTGGACTTCCAGCAGTTCTCTGCTGATGTGCTGTTCTAATCATTTTTGGATAATCTTCAGTAGAATCTTGCTTGCATGTGAAATCAATGACACTGTTCTGTAGTTTCCACACTCAGTTGGGTCACCTTTCTTTGGAATGGGAACAAATATAGATCTCTTCCAGTCAGTTGGCTAACTGGTTGTTCTCCATATTTCTTGGCACAACTTGGTGAGCACATCCAGGGCAACATCTGTTATCTGGAATACTTCAATTGGTATACCATCTATTCCTGGGGCCTTATTTTTTGCTATTTCCTTTTATTTTAGTTTTAATAATATCTTTCCGTATTTTCTAGCTTTCCCTCATGATCTTATATTTACCTTTTCTTATCATTTGAATGAAAGTTTACAAAGAAATTGGTTTTTCAGTCACAGATTTGTCCCCCTTCCCCTGCTTTATTCCCTAATGCATGTCCTGTTCCTGTTTGTTAGTTGCATTATTTATGTCTGATTATCCTTTCCCCCCCCCGCCCCAGATTGCGTTTCCTTTCACTGATTCCAGTGCAGTGTTTATTATATATCCATTCTTTTTCTGATCCACCCTTCCTACAATCCTCCTATTTTTCTAATAGTGGTCTTACACAGTAATTGTCCTCTTGATTGAGTTATTTCACTCAGAATAATTTCTTCTATACTCATGTTTTGTAGTGTTCTTGTCCTTTGTTTTATTGATGGGGTTTATGAAATTGATGGTTGTTCCTTCTTTTTCTATTTTCTAAAATATTTTAAGTAGAATTGGTGACAGTTCTTCTCTGAATGTTAAGTAGAACTCAGCAGTGAAGGGTCTCAGGTTTGGGATTTTTTTGGGGGGGGCGTTGAATTGTTTATGAACTGTTCCGTTTCTGCTTTTGTCAGAAGTCTGTTCAGGTGTTATATTTCACGTGTGTGCCAGTTTAGGTAGAATGTGAGTTTCTAGGAGTTTTTACCTTTTCTCTAAATTTTCAAATTTGTTGGAGTATAACTTTTCCTAATGTTCTAATATTATCCTTTTTATTTCAGTTGATTCTGTTATGACATCGCCCTTTTTCTTTCTTGGGTAATTTTTATCTTTGTTTTTCTTTGTTAGGTTTGCCATTGTTTGTCAATTTTATTGACTCTTTTGAAAAACTAGCTCCTGGTCTTGTTGATAGTTTCAATTCCATTTATTTCTACCCCTCTTTATAATTTCTTTCTTCTAGAGGTTGTGGGGCTTGCTTGTTGATCTTTTCTATTTATTGGAGTACTGGATAAGGAAATTGATTTTAGTTTATTCTTCCATTTTGATGTATTTGCTTATTACTATGAATTGACCTTGAGTACTGGTTTTGCTATATCACAGAGGCTTTTGATATGTTTTCTATCTCATTTTTTCTATACACTTCAATTTAATTTTTAGTTTCTTATATCATTCAATAGTCATCAAGCAGGCTGTTATTTAGCTTTCAAGTGCATAGTTTTTTTCTCTTTTATCTTGTTTATTTCTAACTTTGTAACATTGTTGTCTGAGAAAAATCTGTGTAATATTTCAGTATTTTTAATTTGTTAGGCTTGCTTAGTGACTTGTTTTGGAGAATGTTCCATGCATGCTGATGAAAAATGTGTATTGAGCTTTTTATTTTTAGGTGCAGTACTCTATGAGTGTATGAGATTGTATTGGTTAAGTGTGTAGTTTTAATTCTTCTACTAGACTAGAATTCTACTAGACTAGAAATTCTTCTACTAGATGAGAATTCTACTTCTAATGGACTATAATTATATATAAAATTTATTTCTAGTTAGTACATTTTAGACTTATCCTTATTATTTATGTACAACAAGATATTTCCAGAATAATAATACTGACTTCTGTAAATAATGGCAACTCATTAATTTATTACTACTTTTCTTATTCATACCTGGTATGGTTCTATAGGAGCTCTGATAACATAATGAATAAGGAGTTGTACTGTAAGCCAAGTATAGTTGGTTAAAATCTGTGGGGTATGTAGAGGGACAATCTCTCATGTGATTCACAGTATCTGAAACCTCATTTGGAGGGTCAGCTAAGAGTCAGTTTTGACTTGGTGGCAATGAGTTGAGTTGTTGAATAGTTCTATTATTATTTTATCTGTCAGTTTAAAAGTATATGCATTTTAGATAATGAGACAACAGTTCTAACACATTTCCTATATAAAGTTATATTTTTAATCTTTAGGATATGCCTTTCTAAGGTATGAGAATCTCAGAGTGGGGATACACAGAGTCACTGTCCTTATTTTTCCCCATTCAGGAAGATACCCGATGAGACATGGGTACAATGTGACGAATGTCTTAAGTGGAGGAAGCTTCCTGTCCGTAGTGATCCATCTCTGTTACCTACAAGATGGTTTTGTTACTACAATCCAAATCCAGAATACAGGTAAAGTTCTAAGATTCAAACTCAATATGTATATTCTTGAGATGACCGCTCATTTCTTGTTGTACAGGTATATCTTGTTTTATTGAAGTTTGCTTTATTACGGCTCACAAATATTGTTTGGTTTTTATTTGTTTACAAGTTGAAGGGTTGTGGCAACCTTGCACTGAGTAGATCTCTTTTTCCCAGCAGCATAAGCTCAATTCATGTCTCTGACACATTTTGATAATTCTCTCAGTATTGCTAATAGCTTTATAATGCTGTTCATTCTTACAGAACTCTGGTGGACAAGGGGTAAGGAGTTGTGGTGCCAACCCAAAGGCATTCAGTTCAAATCCACCAGCTACTCCAAAGGAGAAAAATGGGCAATCTCCTGTCCTATTTGCAGCCTCTGAAAATCTACTGGAGTGTCAGCTATGAGTTGGTTCCACCTCAATGGCACATAACATGCCATACTTAATAGATAACTTTTAAAATATCTTGTGAGACAAACAAAAAAATATGTAACATACAGTGGTGGTGTTGTTGTTATGTGCCATTGAGTTGCTTGCGACTCATCGAGACCCTATGTACAAGAGCTCTAAATGCTGTTCTATCCTGTGCCAACCTAGCCATCTCAAACGCACTCATTCCCACCACTCCACTCACAGAATTGATCCATCTCATCAAAAGTCTTCCTTTCCTGCGCCGTCCCTCCACTCTCCTAAACATGATGTCCCTCTCCAAGGACCAGTCCCTCCTTGCAACATGCCCAAGGTATGTCAGATGAAGCTTCAGAATCTGCGACTCCAAGGAGCATTCTGGCTTCACTGTCTCCAGGACAAACCTGTTTGTTCTCCCAGCAGTCCATGGTATATTCAACACTCTTCTCCAGCACCACGGCTCCAAGGCATCAATTATCTTTCTTTCATCCCTATTCACTGTCTAACTCTCTGATGCATAGCACGTAATTGCAAAGACTATAGCCCAGATCAGGCACACCTTAGTCTCCAGCGTGGCATCGTTGCTCTTCAGTACTCTTGAGAGGTCCCTCACAGCTGACTTTCCCAATGCAATTCATCTCCTGATTTCCTGGCTGCTGTTACCAAGAGTGTTGACTGTGGAACCAAATAAACTAAAACTGTTAACTATCTCAATCTCTTCACCATCCATACTAATGCTGCCAATTGGCCCAATGGTGAGAATCTTTTTCTTATTACATTATTTATTTTATTGTAGTGTTCTCTCAAATACTTTTTATCTCCAGTCAAACTGGTCCCATGCTACCTCTCCACCCTTAACGCAAACCCTATTGTTTTAGCCAGGCCTTTCACTCTTTCTATACATGCTATGCTGATTTGCTTTTCCAGGACTTTGTATTACTCCTTTTTCTTACCTGTGTCCTTCAAATACCTATCCAGGTCACATTAGTCTTGGGAGTTTAAGTCTTCTGTGTAATGCCTTTCCTGTTGACAGTAGTTTACTGTGACCTTCCCTTTGATTTTCAGTGGTTTTTCCTTGATAATTTTCACATACTGTTTTTGTGTTGTTCGGATGGTTTTTATGTATCTATGCTGTAGCTCATACAAGAAATTGTACACTTTTTGAGAGCAAGGTCCTTGTGTCCCGTTTGAGCTGATGATTTTCTTCCTGTGCCTATAAAACACAAATCTCTGCTGTAGTGCATCTTGAAATGGAATATTGGGAGCTTTTTTTTTCAGCACTTTTTTTATTTTTTCATTTTAATAATTTTAGTGAACATTTACAGAGATTTTGGATTTCCATTCATTCATTGCTGCACTTCTCTCCCCGCCCAGCCCTCCCCACCAACCAGTTCGCTCCTCTCTTTGAAAAGTAAAAGAAAAACTCCCTCCCTGGTACACAATCCCCCTGCACCCCTCCCACCACCCCAAGTACATTCCACT